TATTAATATTATATTGTTGTGTGGAATTTTTCAAGACTGGACCTTCTGTGGACAGGTTAGCATAGAAAAGAGCATGCGAAGGCGATTAAACAAGTCTGAATAATTGAAAGACGGCATCCCTACCACACAAAGTTTGTGGTGCTTGGGTGGAACCCTATCAGGTGGGGAGCTGAACATGTTCACTCTCATCTTTATTTGGGACTTCCACAGAATTGTTTTTCTGTTTTTGTTTTTGTTGTTTTTGGTAAGTGCTTTACGGCGCTCGCAACTCACTTAATCCTCCAGTGGTTGAAAGAAACCGCAACTCGTGTCTTTTCTCGAACTAAAGATGAAACTTTCATTACCGTCAAGAAATACCTAGACCACAAGGGCAGAGAGACACCGTGGGATGACAAAATGCCTGGAAAAACATGGTTCTATCAACTGCATATCCTTCTCAAGTGATGGAGAAAGTTAACCTTTTGCATGCTTGATATGAGCTATGTAATTGCCTATCACCTGTACCTGAAATTTTATGTAAACGGGGGGAAGTTTTCCCACGCTGAACTTCTCTTTGAGCTTGTCAAAGCTTGGACAAGTTTTATATATAGTAGAGGGTTTTACGGCGCTCACAACGGCATACGGTCATATGAGCGCCAAGGGGTGGGTGTCAACAGAGAAGTCTTTATAAGGAATCAGACTTAGATTGCTCACCTCTCTAGCTTCAACAGCACAAGGTCTGCTTCGACTATCAAGGCACCCCGGAAATAGTAGGTCAGAAGAGAGTGACAAACATACAAAAGAAGTAGAGGGAAAATGACAATAGTAAGGATCAGGAAAGAAAAAGCAGCAGTTCCCTGTTGTAGATCAGGCACAGTTATGAGCGTGACATGAGTCAGCCCATTTACAATTCTACTATGCTTGAACAAGAAAGGTTCCCCCCTTTGGGAATGGCCTAAAGACACTACAGTCAATGGCATTGCCCCCGGGGGGGGGGGGGTAGGGAAGTTTTGCAAAGCCGAAGTCAGTGAGCAAAAAAAAAAAAAAAAAAAAGACAAGACAGTGTTGATGAAACGTTTGCGCGTAAAAGAGCAGCACTTTCCTGCAGACATTCCCCTTCCAGAAAGTGCCTCAGAGAAGAAGGAGCATGCTCAGCGCAACTTTCTTGTGTGCAACCCTCCAAACAATGCCAGAGAGGAATTCCAACACATCCAAACTTCCCACTGTGTGGTGTGAACACTGTGAACTAGCCATGTGCTGCCCTGCCTGCTTCAAGGTGTACCACGAGTGCAAAGACTACAAGCAAGAGGTCAGGCAGAATAAGATGGGAGCGTGTGCTGTTGCACAGACAGAAGATGAAGAACAGCATGCCTCCAAGAGGCAGAAGCAGTATATTACAGCACAGAAATGTCTTAACTACAAGGAAGTGGATGTACAAGCATTAACTCACTGAAGACATATTTCCTGTCAAAAACACGTGATGGACAGTCAGTGGTGTCAGACTTTTCCCTTAGAAAAAACGGGATCATCATTATGGCTGTATTGCGTCTATATAAACGCTGCTAAAAGCACGAGATCCAGGTACGGTGTATGCATAGCCATTTGTTTCATTCCACACAAAAATTCTTGGAAATCTGTCTATAACTTTCTGATCCAGAACATTTTTAGTTAGGTGACTATCAATACAGTAACAACATGGAACTGCAACGACAAAAAGAGACACTCTTTACAAATACAAGTGCAATGCATTCACATCGTTGACTAATCTTTTTTTGTGTGTGTTGTGAATGTGTGTATGTTCTATTTTAAAACCACAACAGCATCAGAGCAGTTCCAACAAAAGCAATATAAAACATCCACACACAAATAACCCACAATTGTATCTTATAGTTTTTCAACATTTTATTTGTCACAAAAACAGTTTTGTTATTTAAATGTTTAATCAGTCATGTTGTCTTAACTCACTAAAATGTTATTTTTTTAACAACAATAACAACAACACCCACAACTGCCACATAAACAAAATCCTATAAAACGTGATTAAACTTTAATTTTAAAAATCTTTGTTCATTTACGTGTAAACATTGTTTTATATATATATACATATATATATATATATATATATAGAGAGAGAGAGAGAGAGAGAGAGAGAGAGAGAGAGAGTTAGAAATGGAGATCTTTCACTTCAGATCAGATTCCTTAGAATTGTTTTTACTAAAGCTAAATCTATCACAGTATTCAGACTTTAGTTTTGGGCATTACTATTAGTCGAGTTGTGATGTCCCGGCTTAGAGGCAAAGATCGCATGATCTTTGTTAGGAGGACAGCCATTTAAGAGTAAATAGAGAGATCGGTTTGGTTTGGGAATCCCCAGTTTGTAGGCCCAATATGTACAAAATCCTCATTATAATCTAGATCTAGGCTATACATTATACCAGTTGAAATTTAAAAGATAGAGAGGAGTTCGATGTATAGATCTAGATTTAGTGGAAAAATAAGATTTTAAAAATTAAGTGGAGCT